GTGTCTTCTGTGCCTCTCGGGACTCCTCTGATGGACACAGTGGTGGAAGTCAGAGATGAACATGGCTGTGTTGTTTCAGAGGGTGAAGGACAGATCTTCATAGGTAGGAAAAACACTGTGAGTTCTCTGCAAATTAATCACATTGAGGTGAAGAAAAGCCTCATGAATTCATATGATCGTTTGTGCAGGTGGAGAGGACCGAGTGTGTCTCTTGGATGATGAAGACACTGTTGTCCCTGGGACGATGAGGGCTACAGGAGACTGGGTGAATGTTAAAGATGGACAGCTGCACTACCTGGGACGGAGAGACCGACTGATCAAACGCAATGGAAAACGAGTGAACTTAGACAGCCTGCAGCAAGTAAGATGTTTTCTGATGTATGAAGTATAAGTCATGTGATTGATTCAAAAAAGAAATAATTCCACTGGCTTAGCCTCATGTTAGACCAAGACTGACACATGAAGGAACACACATCACTCGTGCTTTTAACATCCAACAACTTTTACGTCTTATCCAGGTCACAGTGTCAGCAGAGAAGCCCAGACCTTGGTTTCTGAGGGATGAGCTTGACCACCTCCCCAGAATACCCTCCCCAAGCTCAGTCAGAGTTGTAGCAACGTGTTTCCGAGCTAGCCAAGAAATATAATTTCTCTGCCTGGCCTGGGTCTGCTCCAGGGCCTGTTCTTGTTAGAACATGCCTGGAATACCTCAACTGGGAGGCGCCTTAGTCAGTTTCTCGAGCCACTTCAACTGGATCTTTTTTTTTAACATACTGAAGGCAAAGCTGATGTACTGATTGTGGTAAATTAAAGGAAAGATTTGAATCCTTAACCCCCACCCTAAAGAAATCTGGTGTCTCTGTTATGAACCAGTTTCCTCACTCAGATTCACTGTTACTAAAAATAATGAAAGACTATTTTTTCAATTTATTGTCACATACACACAGCAATAAGAAAAAAAGAGAAAACAAGAGAAAAGCAGTTTTAGCTGATTAGTAATTGCGTTTTTAAACTGGTGGCACCTTTTCTTAATGCTGTACTTTAATGTGGATACTTTTCATTAATTCTTTGTAAACAAAATACCTTTTCAACATCTTTTTGATTTTGATTTACATCTCCCCTCCTGCAGGTCCTGCTGAGTCTCCCTCAGGTGGAAGCCTGCGCTGTGGGTCTGCACCAAGGATTTCGACTTCTCGCCTTTGTCGTGGCATCCACATCTGGACACCAGAAGGCAGCTTCCACCTCCGCATCTGTACAGCAACGTGCAGAACAAATTCCCTCTGCTTGTGCTTTTGGTGAGCATGCTGAGAACCTACCCTCTTCTGTCAACCGCCCCCTGGAGGAGTCAGGCGGTGCAGACGGAGATCTGAAGAAGCTCATCCTGAGCCAGTTGTCTCTGCTGCTGCCTGCTCACAGCGTACCTGACACCCTGGTGCTCGTCCCGGCTTTATGCCTGACTGCTCACGGTGAGCTTTAGACACGCTGTCACTGCTGAGGAGAAACAGCAGCTAATTCATTCACCACTTTATCCATTCACCTTTCTAACTGTTGTTTTTTTGATAGGCAAAGTCAACATGGAGGCATTAGTCAGAGTTTATGAAAAACAGAGACAGTGTTTAGAGTCTTCACAGAGAAATCGCAGTGAACTGAGGCAAATTCTTCAGACTCTGTGGCGGGTATTTTTCATTTTTGATGACAACATTCATGCTCTAAATTTAAATAAACTGTTGTCTCCTTATGTTCATTCTCTTTTAAACTATCTATCAACAGGATACTTTAAATCTTGCTGTAGATGTTACCGTTGACGAGAAGTCCAAGTTCCTGTTCAGTGGAGGAGATTCTCTGAAGGCTCTGCATCTTTGTGAAGACATCCTCACTGCTGTGGGAGTGACCTCACCAGAGCTCCTGGAGGTTGTACTTGATGGGACCTTCTCTGACATCGTGAATCATGTTGCCAGAGCAAGAGGAATCTTGGAGCATGAGAACAGCCAGTCAACGCCGTCTCAGGCCAAGAGACGGCACGTCGAATCCACGTCTCAGGTACTAGAAAAGAGAGTGCGCAAAGACTGGACAGCAGCTGAGAGTCTGCAGGTGGAGAAACAGGCTGTGAAAGTCATAAGAAGAGGGGGCGAGGTGATAGAGATGAACATCAGATATACAGAAGATGATAAAACAGTGCAGAATAAACTTCTTGGAGAAAGGGAGTCTTGTGGAGAAGCTGATTTGGGCCTCAGTCTGAGCTGGTCCTCAGACACAGGCAGATGTGTGGACGCCTCCCCGGTGCTTCTAGTACAAAACAGAGCTGATCACAGGTCAGATTTGTTCAAAGCAACAGTGTTTATCGGCTCACACTCCCACAGGATCCAGGCTTTAGACGTCGCCACCGGAAACCTAATGTGGGAGCGAGTTCTTGGAGACAGAATCGAGGCCTCTGCTGCCGTGTCTCACTGTGGCACCCTTGTTGTAATAGGTAAGTGTCAGCTTTGTGAATACCTAATGTTCAGGAGGTTTTATTACTTTATATTTCTATATCTTTTTTGGGGGGGGGGTTCTTTCTCAGGATGTTATGACGGCTGTGTGTATTTTTTATGCACTGAAACTGGAAAGACACAGTGGGTGTTTGAGACGGGAGATGCTGTGAAGAGCTGTCCTGCTGTGGATCCTCTCACTGGTCTGGTGGTAGTGGGCTCACACGATGGGTACGTTTACGCCCTAAACTCAGAGGTGAGTGCTCGATGCAAAGAGACACAAGGACTCGAATGATTCAGAAAAGTCACAGATTGATGGTTGCACTGGATACCTGTCTCACGTGTTTGAAGCAGACACTCTGTTTTCTGTTTTCAGGTTCAGAAGTGTGTTTGGAAGTGTCACTGTGGTGGAGGAGCTGTGTTTTCTTCTCCACGTCTTCACGCATCACGCCGTCAGGTGTACGCGGCTTCACTGGGAGGACGCCTGCTCTGTCTCAGCATCGTAAGTGAAGGTCGTTTTGCCATTTGGTGCACAAGTGGAAATAAGAAAGGAAGAGGCACGAGTCTGTTTGAATCACAAACTTTTGTAAAAATATTTCTATGATGACTTTGAGGGTGTTAGTTTAACGTTTAAAATGAGAAAGCTCTTCATCTTTCAGCTGTTCCCTTTAGGAGTCGCCATGCAGATCATCTGTCTCCATCTCACACTATCGCTAGCATCCTCTTCTGTCACGTCAACCCTCTGCATGTCCATTTTCACTACATTCATGAACTTTCTCTGTAGCCTTCCTCTTTCCCTTATGTGCACATTTGTCTCAAAAGAGAAATTTGCTACTGACTATAAAACATTAAAAAAGGAGAATAATAAGAGTGATGGCCCTATATGTCTCACGTGTGTTTCTCTTTCCCAGGACAGTGGAGATGTCTTGTGGTCTTATTGCAGAGACACTCCTTTCTTCTCCTCACCAAACTGCTTCTCTGAGCACGTTGTGATCGGCTCGGTTGATGGACACATCTGCTGCTTCAGCAACACAGGGAAACTTGTAAGGAGCTCACTTGTTGTTATAGATTTTGCATTTTGTAAATGAGCGATTTTGGGGTTTTTGGGGGTTTTTTTTTTTACATTAAAGTCACAACCATTCATTACGACAACATTCAAATGTACTCGTATGGTGAAAAGGGGGGAAGGGGCCTGGCTATTTTCTGAATCCTCTGTGTAATTCATAACTGTATGACCCTTGTGTGTATTTGCAGCTGTGGCAGTTTCTAACAAAGGGTCCAGTTTTCTCCTCTCCATGCGTCACGTCAGACCAGAAAAGACTTCTGTGTGGATCACATGACGGTTGCCTGTACTGTTTGAATTGTGCAGATGGCTCTTTGGTTTGGACTTTTCAGACGACAGGCAAGGTGTACTCCACCCCATTTGTGTTTGACGGCTCAGCTGTGGGGAGAAGGGGTTCACTGGTGGGCCTGGCCTCCACTGACGGCACAGTCTGGATCCTGGATGGAAAAGACGGACGGATGTTGGCCTCGCATACCTTTCCCGGGGAGCTGTTTTCATCCCCGGTGGTGTGGGAAAAGTCCCTCCTAGTCGGATGTCGTAATGACTATGTGTATTGTCTGAGGCTGAGTGTAAAAGAGGAAACGTAGAAGGATATATTTTATTTTTGTACCTTTTTTTTTTTTTTTTTTAAAAACCAAAAAACCAATAAACAACTTGTTTGTCAGTGAAGTGAGGTGTTTTGGGAAATAGGATTTTTAAGTCAATTCTACTTGTTTTCTGAGATCCATATGTCTTGTTACATGTTACAAGCTTAGTTGAGGCATTTTTTTAGAACTCATCAATCTTTATAATTTCAAAGGGAGTCCACATCCCTGATGTGACCATCTCAGGCATGCACTCTGCCCCACCCACTTTCCGTTTAAACCAGGGTGGTGTTGGGGCCCGCCAAAACACACAGAGCTGTAAATGGAAACAGCTGTGCTGATTACTGCACGTCACAGGTCACTGGGTTACACTTACACTGGGACAAATCTAGTGAAAATACACTATATTGCCAAAAGTATTTGCTCATCTGCCTTCACATGCATATAAATGTTGGAGGAGAAGCCCTAGCTCACAGTGTCCACTCTGATTCATCCCAAAGATGTTCTGTTGGGTGGAGGTCAGGCCTCTGTGCACCATGCTTTATGCACCTGTAGCCATGGAAGTAATCGAAACACCCGAATTCAGTGGTTTGGATGGGTGATTGAATACTTTTGATGATATAGTTTACCAAAACTATATCAAAACCATTTTTAGATTATGTCCCAATTAGAATAATGTAAAACAGAGAAGGAAGCGAGCTAAAACAGCTTGTTTCATTCAAATATGAACTCAAGGGCTGCACCGAGACTTAGCAGTAAGGTAAACGGATTAATTTGAATTGTGAATTATGTAAAGCCACTTCAAGAATAGAAATATGGAGTTTGTAATGAGCATAGTACTTTCCCCTTCGTGATTTTGAACAGTATGAGACGGCAGTTCTGTGGTTCAGACATCAGTATTTAATTTACATTATTCATAACATTTTGTATCTTTTTTTTCATATCTGTAAGTGGGACAAAAAAGTGCAAATAATACCAAACATTTTTTGTTACATACAACACTGCGTACACTACACTATTGTGCACGACCAAAGTTAGAAACAAAATGACTGTGAGTCCACCTCTTTTAGGGCCCTCTTTTTGACCGAACCTCTGGCAATGCCTTTCACTTACATACAGTACATACTTACATGGATACAGATCATTAAGTGAGTGGCAGGAAATAAGAATCAAGTTTTTTTTTTCTTCATAGAGGAAATGTTTACATTATGTAGGATCATATCACATTTAAGAGAAAGTGATGGCGCAAGCCTACTAAGACGAGCGTGTTACAGGAGGACAGCTATAAGAGTCGTAGGTCTACAGCTAGGAGGTGTCACATCTGTCTCCAATAAGCAAAGCCTAAAAATAAAAAATCCAAATTACATCGTCACACAGCTGTGAGGATGAGGTGCAGGTTCACCATAAATGCCCAGTAACACTTGTGGTCTTCAGTGCTGTGTTTAGGTGCACCCACCATGTTTCTTTTCTTTCTTTTTTTTTTAAATCATGGCAAAATTGTACAATAGCTCCTTGGACAGCTATCACAGTCGTCACGGGCACAGTGAGAATTGTTAAGCTAAGATTTTCCAGTATGTGTTGATAAAAAAAAGGCATCTCTTGTAGATGAAAAACAAGGCTCAGAGAAAAGACACAGGAGAGGGAGAGCTGCTGCTTTACATAAATAACGCCAAGAAGTACAGAGGGGATGCCTGTAACACTTCCAGAAGCAGGTTCGTGCTGAGTTTAAACTGGTAGCCCTTAAAACATGATTCAGACAGTTACCCTCTGTTGATTAAACACTGTCATACATCAGAGCTTCACCTCTATAATACAGAAGTGTTATATTGTGTTGAGCAAATGATTTATTTACAACCATGGTGACACAGTTGGCTACACAATTTAAAAAAAAAAGGAAAAAGGTTGGCTATTGCAGTGGCCAACCATGGTTGCGATTGGCTGCAGGAGTTTAAGAGACATATAATTTATGTTTTTATACAGTATGTGCATGCTCGCATCAATTGTTTATATCTGTGCGGCTGTATCGGATTAAGTGAATGTGAAGCGCACTTTAACATGATAATAGTACCAGCCAGTGTATGTGGGGGGGTTAGGAGGAGATGGAGAGCTTTACTGGTTTCACAGTCGGGAAGAGTTTTCATTGTGAGAAGTGAGAGGTGGAGTTCTCAGAGGGGGGGGACAGTTAATGGTGACACTCCAAGTGTTTCAGAGTCTGTGGGCAGTGTACACTCTTGATGCAGGCCGGAGTGTCGTGTGTAGCTGGTGGTTTGAGGTGTTATTTGATGATCTGAGGACAGTCGCTCCAGGCTTTGGCCTTTCGTTTGGCCAGAGCAAGCCAGGCCGGCTCTGTGGAAACCTGCGGAGAGTCACTGGAGGGGAAGCGCTTTGACACCTCTTTGACAGCAGGTGGCGACGGTGTAGAGTCTGCAATCTCAACTGCAACAACAAACATGTAAAAATGTGTTACTAATCTGTTTGCTTTCTATATCCCATTATTAAACTCATTTTAAAAAAACAGATTAATTTTGAAGAAGAGCTTCTGGAAATAAAGAAATTTGCCTGACTAATAACAGCAACTGTAATCAGAATAACCAGAAATTGTAGAAAAAGAGCTCATCCTGTTGTTTGTGAAGCTAAAAGCTACTTAGTATATTCACTTTACTACGATATATGACAATTTTACCAGTGACAGAGCTCGGTAGAGTGTTGGCCTTCTTTAGGTGCTCCCGGCGTTCAAATTTTCCCAGGAGGCTCTCTGGTCTCTTGGGCTCCTCTGGCGTCTGAGGTTTAGAAGAAGGACTGGTGCTTCCACTTCCTTTGCTGTCTGTGGGGCTCACCAGTGTAACCTGCAAAAGAGATTTGGGATCCATTCAGAAGATGGACAGTATGTTACGGAGATCACGAGAAAGTGTGTAAACGTTTATCTGTGGGGCATACACTGTCTCGCTCTTTAGCTTGTTTTTCTGCCAGCTTGGCCTCTCTTTGGCTACGACGCTCCTCCCGGTTCTGCTGCTGCTCCCTGAAGCCTTTCTGCTTCTGAAGAGCCAGTGTGATCCACAAAGGTCCAGCCTCCTTCTCCTGGACCCTCGCACTGTCCAGTGAGTGCCTGCTCTGTAGGGATGGTTTTTCTGCAGATGAACACACGATAGATGTTGTTGGAAACCTTTGATACTACAAAACACTATTTTTAATTTAACAAAACATATTCATCTCAAAATCATATTCCAAATTTTTCCACAGGACCTTTTTTTCCCCTTTCTGTCCGACAATGCGTGTAGGTTAGTAGAAAGAAAATAGCCATTTACATAAAAACTATTCACATAATTGCTTGCGGATTTATCATTTAGTCCCAGTATATTCACGGGAAGGCAGACATCTCTACTGCCAATATCACCAACTCATGCCAAAACAATCTAGATGGATAAATGGTAATTTGATTTAGGTATGGAACATCCCTTTAAGCAGTAAATGTTGCCAAGATATTGGCAAATCAAATGGATTTGCATTATGTAGATGAGAAGATTGTTGCTTATGTCTCTTTACTTAAATAGGAAGCTACGGTCTGGAGATGCTTGGGGATGAAGCAGCTTACACAGTTTTGTCTAAAAGTATCAAGATAAGCTTACAGGTTCATCTAAAGCTCGTTATTTCACGTGATAATTTCAGCTAACTAACAAAGATGCTGACCTTTCCTGATGAGTTCTGTCTTTCTGTCTGCCTTTTCCCTCCAGGGTATGTTAATGGAGGGGAAGAATGACCTCTTCTCCTTGGGCTCTTCTTCCCCTTGGACATGACTTTGGCTGCTCTTGTGCAGCAGGGCTGAAGGTTCCTCACTCCTTCCGGCTTGCTCCTGGATGGATGAATCCACACCCATTGTACTCTCCACTGAATCATCACTGGGAGACTCATGAGCTACCTTAGGTAGTGGTGATGGGGGAGGTGTTGGGGCTGCACCTGTAGGCTTAGGTGATGTCACTGGTCTGCGGTAGAGCGGTGGCTTGGAAAACACTTTCTCACCCTCACTGTGTGGAGTCGGGCTGGTAGACTTAGTCAGTTTACCCCGGGGGAATGCAGGAGAGGCAGATGCATGTAAATACTTGCTGACCGCGCCTTCTTTCTGAGGTGACGTGGGGCTTGATTTGTCAGAAAAGACAGAAGAGGCATCAGAGTCTGGCTCAATGGGGGTAAGAGGCGAGGGGACGCCATCAAAGCTGTCCCCAGCACTGTAGCGCTTCTTCTTTTTCTCTGTGGACTGCTCGCTGTGAAAACGCAGAGAGTAGTTGGTCCTCCTCAGCTTTATGCCAAAAGGAGAAGGCTTCTCCTCACTGTCCTGGCCCTGCTCCTCTCCCTCCACTCTGCTTTCAGATGTCTCTGTTTCACTCTGAACCCTGCTCTTCGACTCTGCCTCTTCAGATTGAATTTCAGAACTGGGAACCAGGAAAGAAGGAAGGTCTTTGGCAAACATACACTCATCTGACCCTCTTTCTATGATGCGGACACTTTTACTTGTCCTGTTCTGAGGTTTACTTGATGGAGAAGGAGAGGCTACAGTGGGGCTTCCAGGTGGAGCAACCTCCTCTCCTGCTTCCTTATCTTCTGCACCAAACACCTCAGAGTTCCTATTTGAATCTCCAAACTTCTTCCTTGCAGGGGTGATGGAGAACTTGGCGCTAGCAGACATGGTCTTCCTGAGGTTCGTGTGGGCAAACAGAGGCTGTTCTTCAGCGCTGGACTGAGACTGGCTCCTGCTCGGCTCTGGGTACTCGTCGTACTTCCCCTCTTCTACCCCCTTGAATATCTTTGATCTGATGCTTGCCCATTCTGCCAGGACAGCTGCACTGGACTGATCGGTAGAGAGCGCAGACTCATTGAGTGATTTGGTTTTTCCAGACTTGCGTTCTGGGGAAGTCTTGCTCTTTGTTGGCGGTGTTCCTTGGGCCTTTCTATCCTCTCCCAAACCCAGCAGGGACTTGCAGGCGGTGTCTTTGATCTGGTCTAAATTGACAGCTGTCCCACATAGCTGGGCGCCTGTCACTAGGATAGCTGTATGGGGGACATATGGAGATGCTGGCAGGTTGGGGGAGTCTGGTCCTTCAGAGGAGGAAGCCTTTGCTCCATCTCTTTGATAAGCGACAGCAGCGCTCTGGTGGCTGGAGGCCGGCGTAACAGGCGTCAGATTGACCTTCTGGAAGAGAATCTGTTTCTCACCAGAGGACACTTTAAAAGTAAATGGCCTCTGTCTCTCCTCCATCTCCCTCCAGCGTAGCTCTTCAGCTCTCCTCTTCATCTCTTGTGGATCAAACTTCCCATCAGCCTCCTCCAATGACATCCTTCTTTGCTCCTCTTCCTCCTTTTCCCTCTTCTCCTCTGCTACCTTTTTCTTTTTTTCTTCCATTTCCCACAACCTCAGTTTCTCTGCTTCCTCCTCTTTCTTTCTTTCCTCTTCTTCTACCAGCTTCCTCCTCCTCTCAGCCTCAAGCTCCTGCTGCCTCCTTGCCTCTTCCTCATGTTTCCTCCTTTCCTCCTTCTCTTGCCTCTTCCTGTCCTCTTCCTCTTTCCTCCATTGTTCTTCTAGTCGTCTCCTTTCTTCCTCTTCTTCCCTCTGCCGACGCTCCTCCTCTTCTCGCATCCTCCTTTCCTCCTCCAGCCTTCTCATGCGCTCTTCCTCTTGCCTTCTTTCCTCCTCCTCTCTGATCCTCTTTTCCTCCTCCTCCCTGATCCTCCTTTCCTCTTCTTCTCTGAACCTCCGTTCCTCCTCCTCTCTGATCCTCCTTTCCTCCTCCATTCTCCTTCTTTCTGCCTCCTTTAGCAGCCTCCTTGCCTCCTCTTCTTCTCTGATCCTCCTTTCCTCCTCCTCCTCTATTCTCTTTTTCTCTGCCTCCTCTAGCAGTCTCCTTGCTTCCTCTTCCTCTCTGATCCTCCTTTCCTCCTCCTCCATTCTCTTTTTCTCTGCCTCCTCGCGCAGCCTCCTTGCTTCCTCTTCCTGCTGTTGCATACGACATCTCTCCTCCTCCAGTTCACGCAGCCTCAGCTCCTCTGCTCTCCTCTTCCTCTCTTCTTCCTCCTGTCTGAACCTCAGCTCCTCAAGCTCTCTCATCCTCCTCGCCTCCTGTCTTTCCTCCTCATGGAGTCTTTGTTTCTTGAAGCTTTCAATGGACTCAACAGACGCTCTACGCTGGTCGTCTGTGGAGACGCCAGCTGCTTCGAGGTCATCTTGGACCAAACCAGGAATGGATACCTCTTGGAGGTCCTGGAATGCAAAAGTCCAAGTAGTGTCAGCTTTTTTTTTAACAATAACAAAGGGTGTCACAGAATAAACAAACATGCAAACCCACATTAAAAGAAACTCACCTGTGTGAATCGTCTGTGCTTGCGGGAAATCCTCTGGTTTTTCGGCTTGACGGAGAGTTTATGTTTGGCGGCAGCGTTGTCTAAGCGAGGAACTGACTGAGGGACGGCATCAAGGTTGATGGACTCAATCGTGCCAGTGAGTGGAAGAACTCGTTTGGACCTTGGAGACTTCACAGGGGGGCTGTGTGGTCCAAATGGCTGACCTCCCTGCACCTGCTTATGTCACAGTAAAAGAGCAATTAAACTACGACTTAAAGAGATCTCTGTAGACACAGTACACAGAAAGCAGAGGTGTCCGTGGTGTGATAAGGTTGTTTATTTATTTATGTGTTTATTTAATATTAATACAATCCCCTGATATGGAGTGATAAACCAGAATCACAAAAGGTTCTAAGCAACTTCTTCACATGTTTAGTGCTACCCAAGACTTAAACAGAACAAATGTTGTGTTAAATTAATCAAACTTAAAACAAACAAAAAACCTACCAGTCAGTCAACTCATACCTTTGGCTCTGTTCCTGGTGGCTCCGCTTCTACCTGGGCCAAAACTTTCAGAGGGCTACGCGGAACCTCTTCCTCATCTGAGCTGCCCTCATCTCCCTCACTTCTTCTCAGAGAAGGAGGCCTTTGGCCAAACTTTATACCTTGTGCTATCTGCCTCTGTGAGAATAAAAAACAATTAATGATTACAACATATCTAGTTGGAGCAAAAAGAGAAGTGAGTGTACACCTCTGCACGGCCCACCTGCAGATTCCTAACTTTATCCGACACGTTTTCCTGGGACATGCTGTGATCCAGACCAGCCTCCTTCACCGGTTCCTCTGGAATGAAGATGCTGTCGTGTGAGAGAGCTCGAGATCCGATGGGATTCAACTCCCTGCAGGAGAAGGAGATTGTCTTCAGTGCTGCAGCGTGTCATCTGTCAGTCATTCATGCATTTATCACAAACTTGCAGCAGCAAAAAAAACTTTACACAGTGAAATGATTGACCCCGGAGTCCTGTTACAAGTCGTTACAGGTTGTAAGCTCGTATTGTCAGTGAAGCCTTTTGCCTTTAAAGTCATTTCAAAGCACAGCCTCACCTTTGTCTTTACAGATTATGTCACCTTGCAGCATTTTGCAACCGCGTGATTTAACACTTTCATTTGTCTAGAAGTGAATAAGAAGCTGAGTTGCTTTTAGCAGAGAAAAAAAACAATGTACTGTTTTAAAAAAGCAACAAATTCCAACCTTTGGTAGTGTAGTGAATGAACAATAAGCTCAGTTTCTGTGTGTATAGTATAGATGAATACAAGTTTAAAAAAAACAAACTGATCCATGTACTAACCTCAGATTTTGATCGGACTCCTCATCAGATGTAACGCCATTGCACACTTCCCCTGTGGAAAAACTGGTTTTTAGCTCTGCTCCATCAAAGCCCTCTCTCGCCTGTCTTTTCTTCTTCTTCCCAAACAGTCGTCTGAACGGCTGGAACTTGCCCTGTCGCCTTCTCTCTGGCGGTAGAAAGGAGAATGGATGACGACCACAGCCACATGCAATCACATCATTAATCTTTATATCTCACCCTCGGGCGAGATAACGAGCAGGACTGTGCCTATGAGCATATTCATTGTTACACGCGTGTACTTAATGAAATGTGTTTGACGGAGTTAAAAGAAAACGAAGAAAACAGCAGATGGAATGAGAAGAAAACCTTGGCTCTTTGGTTCATACTTGTATTTACAGGAAGTGTGAAAGATCGACACCACACATAAAAAATAGAGCACCAACAGCCAAAGCAATTAAAAACAAAAAAGGAGGAGGTCACTAGCTCCCCTACTTACAGACTGAAAATAAATGCACAACTGAAAGTAGGGAAAGCTCAGTTATCGTCACAACTCCAAAAGCTATTACAAACTAGCCACATGTGAGCAGCACTACAGTAAATATAAAAGTTCAAGGCTACACATATCACAGGTACCACTGGAAGATTCGCTAATCTATCAGTCTTTGAGGTAATCACTTCAAGTGTGTCGATTTAGACACAATAAAACAGGGCAGCTGTCATAAACCCTGCTATTGCTACCAAGATCAGTGCTGATTCATGAGGAAGTGTTTGACAAAAGCGAAGAATTTAACTTTGGACTTTCAGTAGGTATCTTTACCACCTCATCATTGTTCATGCCAGTAAGTTATAAACTCTTACACTAAACTTTCCCATGTGTAAACGCGAAAACGTGTCTGTGCGCTCTCTTCTCAGGATCCAAACAATAACATAACAATAAAAGTTTGCTTGAAAACATTTAACAGAACCTCATTGAAACAGTAGCTCATGCAATTCGCGATCCATCATAATTCAAAGCTTATTGCGCATAAAAAAACAAAACAATTATGATTCTGACCTTAAGCACAATTTGATTGAAGATGCATTAGATGATAATTGTGTTTAAGTGTGATTAAATCCTGACCACTACTGTAGCAGGAGAAGCAATTCTTGCTATTTGAACATGGACGGATGACACATTATGGCAGGAGCTCATTGGTTCTTCAGCTAAAACTGTAGACAAACAATTTAATGATCTCCTCCAAGAAAATAATGTGATTGCTTCCTGTTTTTTTCCTACCAGGATCAAATAGTTAAAAACAAATTACGAGAGTTTTGGCTTGCTTCAACTTCTGGAGTCAATCCAGTCACTAAAGACTTCCTGGATTCTTGCTAGATCCAGGAAGTTTTTTAGCAGATTCTTTATCATTGAGATATAGAGCAAAACTTTGACATTTTATGTGATATCGTCACAAATATAAACCTAACTGAAATTGGGAGACATCCCCTGATGTTCTTAAGCTAATATCACAAACTAATCTGGATCTGGATTATCTCTCCTGATCCAGGGATTCAGTTTGTCCACAGAGTGGAGGGACTTTTCAGCCTTGGTTGAGGTGTTTCAACAAGTACTGCAGAACATTTCTCCTTCAAAACTACAGCAGCTACCCAGCTGTGTGTCTTACTTCTGTGTGTTTGTGTAGTTGTGAAGGTCCACTCCCTGAACTAAGTGAGTGAGGTTACAAAGCTACAAAGCTACTCTACACCACTGTGCAGACAGGCATTCTCTGGGCTCTGCGGGTATCCCTTTCAGTGCTATAAGTAGAAACCGGTGTGGGATTTCACTTTGCATGCTGCTCACTAAACGAAAGGCATGATGGGAAATGATACAGTAAACTAATTTCCCCACTCCTTGACCCTGAAGAACTCGAGGGGTTTTTTGTGTATGAAAGAGGACATGTTTACACAAAAAATATTTTAGAAACTCAGTGTCAAGGGACAGATGTTTCCATCTTGTTCATCTTATATTTGACTCTGCTGAAGTCCCTCATCATTCCAAAAAAAGATCTATATAAAGATCTATATATACACCTTATCTTTTTTACCCTGTCCCCTAGCTTAAATCTTACCTAAAAAACATAACCCTCATTTTCTTTTTGAAAGATGTTCACAAGTATCAGCCAAGATAAAAACTATTCCCATTTTTTTCAATAAAAACTTAAAACTACTGTTGTTTTTCTTCAAAACATGGATGTGACAGGGTTACCTTCCATTGTGATGCCCCAGATCCCAAAGAAGAACATGTTCATTCCTTTTCTTGCAGAGACTTCGAGACTTAGCTACTTTCATGACTTAATGTGAAGCTTAGCTTAAATCTATGGGAGAAACTGCCACCATGGCTCTTTCCAAATTGAATAATAATAATAATAATAATAATAACTAGCAAATCCATGGCACACAAATCAACATTTTATATTTATTTGCTTCTGTCATAGTAATACGCAAGTGTAAAACCTGTAGGTAGATGTTTGCTTGTAAAGCAGTGAATCACCAGCAGTCATTGTCTTTGGTCAGCGATGATATTAAGAAAATGATGAATGAGCTTACATGACTTTGTATCATATTTGTATTTTTCCCCCCCAGTTTCTTATGGATATAGCACATGTAGGTGCAATCTGTGTTACTCCAAAGGCAAACAGGAAGGAACAGAAAACACCTTCAGACATTGTGCTACGAAACCGCCCTTCAATATAAAATAAATTTTCAACCTAAGCAAATTTTTAAGTCAAGATTTGTAAAGGATTCAAGACAAAACAGGTCTACTGCACAAAACATTTGTACTCTAAATAAATAATTTAATTATTGTTTTAATATTGTGGCTGATCTGTGTTTCTGCTGCCTAGCGTGGCTTCTTGTCATGTAATGCACCCTAAAATGACCAAAATGGAAGAAAATTGATAAAATCAATCAATCAATCAATCAATCAATCGAGACATTATGTCCACACAAGTCAAATGGATTTGGGTTTAAACTGTGCGTTTGATAAAATGGTTACAAAACACACATTAGAGTTAGATTAGTATCTAAATCTAACTCTGAGCAATACGCAAATCTATTAAAATCGTAAAATAAACAAGTATTAGGTATTTCTTATATTTGAGGAAGTGGAATAGGATTGATAACTAAAATCATGAGTCCCTGTATCTGCATCCAGACTGACAGCGCTGTCTTTGCTCCTGTCAACAGCTGCTGAGGTAGTTTAGATTCACAACACTGAAAAAAAAAAACATACGAGAACTTTCGAGAGGTCACTAATGCTTTTAAGTGTTAAACAGTTCATGAATTATAAATATTAATCTTAGCCGTTTAACTACAAGCAATTACCCGATAGCCACATTAGCGAGTATTACGGTAGCAGCTAGCGGCTATGGCTAAACCTTAATGTGAACGTTAGGTAGCAAGCGTTATCAGTCCTGCAGATCTGTAACGGTAATAAACAGCGTGAATTTGACAAAATAACCCATTTTGTTAAGCTAAAAAGTGTTGTGTTTCTCTTGAAGTCAAAGATTGAAGCTGATAAAAGCCTACCAGCAAGTAGACAGAAACGTTGGCAGCCTACCTTAACAGCTCTAATTGATGAGCAACGACATATGGAGGTAAGGGTCTAGAAGTACAGCACTGCCTCAAGCAAAAGTAAAATAATAAGAATATATAGTAATGACAACAAATTTGTTAGACCACCAAATGAAAGGTTTATTCCCAGCTGCCAGAAATCAAGCAATAATTTTTAATATTTCTATTAAGGTTCAACCACCAGTATATGCACAAGGTCCTCAATCAAAATTATGCATTTTAATGCTAAATTTTAATGCTGTGTTTTCCAAAAAGCTCATGACAAAAAGGGAGATCTGTAACAGTGGATTCAATTCGATTCCATTTAATTTTATTTATATAGCGCCAAATCACAACAACAGTCGCCTCAAGGCACTTTATATTGTACAGTAGATCCTACAATAATAGATACAGAGAAAAACCCAACAATCATTTGACCTCCTATGAGCAAGCACTTTGGCGACAGTGGGAAGGAAAAAAACTCCCTTTTAACAGGAAGAAACCTCCTTCAGGGAGGGGCGGCCATCTGCTGCGACCGGTTGCGGTGAGAGAAGGAAAACAGGATAAAGACATGCTGTGGAGGAGAGACAGAGATCAATAGCAGTTACAATTCAATCCAGGAGGATTCAGGGTCACCTGGTCCAGCCCTAACTATATGCTTTAGCAAAAAGGAAAGTTTTAAGCCTAATCTTAGAAGTAGAGATAGTGTCTGTCTCCCGAATCCAAACTGGAAGCTGGTTCCACAGAAGAGGGGCCTGAAAACTGAAGGCTCTCCCTCCCATTCTACTTTTAAATACTCTAGGAACAACAAGTAAGCCTGCAGTGCAAGGGTGAAGTGCTCTAATAGGGTGATATGGTACTACAAGGTCATTAAGATAAGATGGGCCCTGATTATTTAAGACCTTGTATGTGAGGAGCAGGATTTTGAATTCAATTCTGGATTTAACAGGAAGCCAATGAAGGGAAGCCAAAACAGGAGAAATATGCTCTCTCTTTCTAGTCCCTGTCGGTACTCTTGCTGCAGCATTTTGGATTAACTGAAGGCATTTCAGGGAGTTTTTAGGACTTCCTGATAATAATGAATTGCAGTAGTCCAGCCTGGAAGTAATAAATGCATGAACTAGTTTTTAAGCTTCACTCTGAGACAGGATATTTCAAATTTTAGAGATGTTGCACAAATGGAAGAAAGCAGTCTTACATATTTGTTTAATATGTGCATTGAAGGACATGTCCTGGTCAAAAATGACTCCAAGATTCCTCACAGTGTTACTGGAGGCCAAGGTAATGCCAGAGTAAGAATCTGGTTAGATACCATATTTCTAAGATTTTCAATAACCTCAGTTTTATCTGAGTTAAGAAGCAGAAAGTTAGTGGCCATCCAGGTCTTTATGTCTTTAAGACATTCCTGCAGTTTAACTAATTGGTGTGTGTTATCTGGCTTCATGGATTGACATAGTTGGGTGTCATCTGCATAGCAGTGAAAATGTACACTATGTCTTCTAATGATACTGCCTAAGGGAAGCATATGTAATGTAGGACCATTGGACTCTCCATTTACATGCAGAAAATTGGAGTCGA